GAGCTTCCTCATCTCCTCGTTCTCCGGTCGTGGCCGTCTCTCCATCAAAGCGAGTCGATCACCACGGATCTTGGGCTGGAAGGAAGAAGCAGCTTCCGGGGACGCTCCACCCGAAGTCCGGCAGGAGCAGGAGTCCTTCGACGCCGACGGCGACCATGGCGTGGCGAGAGCCCATGAGCGTGGTGGTGACCAGGAGGCGGTGGCCCTCGATGAGGTCCCGCCGCACGCCACAGCCATCCTGGAGTCATGACCGAGCTCGCAGAGCGCATGGACGTGACCAGTAGCGGTCCCCGCGTCAGAGCCGCACTGCGTGGCAGCGTCTGCGGTTGTCTGGTCGTGGTCGACTTGGGCGGCGGCTGGCGGTGCCTGCCGACGGCCGCCTCTCCGGATCTGTCTGCGCCCAGCTGCGGCTGCCCAGGCACTCAACCTCCATCCCATCCATGATCCATCATGCCACACACACTTGATCCGAGAGGCACAACAAAGCTCCTCCAAACGTCGTTATGCATGAAATTGACGGAATGGCAGCCAAGGGAAAGGAAAGCATAAATCAATGTCAATGAAGGAAAGATCATTTTTTCAATGGCAATGAAGGGATGGTTATAATTTTCAGTGGCAACCAAGGAATATTCTCTATTAATTAAAGCAAACAAGAAGTAGTTCATCAAGGGGTCCTACCTCATTTGTCCCCAGGGAGTTTCACTCAATTGGAGTATATTGATGACAGGATGATGAATTGCTTCGAATGGATGTCAGGCTTCAAAATCAGTTGTCATAAGAGTGAAGCCATCATATATGAAGAGGTCCGGATTGCAAACATTATAAACTGCTCAAGGGGTTATCTCCCCATGAAATATCTCGGGATCCCCTAAGTGACAGGGACATGGGTGTATCCCAAGATAATTGAGAAAATGAAAAGGAAGCTGCAGCCGTGAAAAGGAAAGAATGTGACCTCAGGGGGTAGACTGAATGACTGATCCAGATGAATACTTCTCTTAGTAGCATCCCTAAATATGTTGGCTGCGTTCGGTTGATGGAAATTTCAGCCGGAATTCACTGTTCACGGCTGAAATTTGTTAGAAGGACTAGAATGAGGCCAACCAGCTGTATTGCAAGACCCAAGAGGGCAACTATACACAGTGTACATATGCAAAGAAGCCCTCCAAATAGAGGGAAACACATACACCTCCTATACATCTAACACCCCCCTCAAACTCATGGTGGAGAGTAGAAATCTACAACACTGAGTTTAGAGAGTAGAAACCTATGATGAGCCCGGGTTTGTGCCTTGGTGAAGAAATCAGCTAACTGAACCTCTAAAGGCACATGGTGGAGCATCACAACCAGATCACGCACCTGCGATCTCATGTAGGAAGCATCAACGCCAATGTGTTTGGTGAGCTCATGCTTGACTTGGTCTCGAGCAATACTGATCGCACCGGTGCTGTCAGAAGAGAGAGGAGTGGGTGCAGTGGCAGGCACACCAAAATCCTCAAGAAGCCATCATAGCCATGTCACCTCCGCAGTCACAGTCGCCATAGCACGCAGCTCAGCCTCATCACTCGAGCGGGAAACTACAGTCTGCTTCTTGGTTTTCTAGGCAATCAAGGAGGAGCCAAGGAAAACACAATAGGCAGAGAGAGAGAGTAGCGATCATGATGATCACTCGCCCAGGTCGCATCAGAATACGCCTGAAGCTGAAGAGAACTAGAACGAGGGAAGAAAAGGCGCCGAGAGATAGTTCCATGAAGGTATCGCAGAACACGGAGGAGGTGAGCATAGTGGAGCTGGGTAGGAGCTAAGACAAACTGACTCAAGATATGCACAGAGTGAGAAATGTCAGGACGAGTGATCCCAAGGTAGACAAGACTCCCAACAAGCTGACGATAGCGAGTAGGATCAGCAAGTGGTACACCATCAGTGGGTCGTAGGTGAACACCAAGCTCCATAGGAGTATCAACAGTGCGGTGATCAGTGAGAGCAGCACAGGAAAGAATGTCCTGAGTGTACTTCTCCTGAGAGAGAAAAATACCATCAGATGTGGAGGTGACCTCAAGACCAAGGAAGTAACAAAGGGGACCCAAATCAGACATAAGGAATGTCTCATTGAGACGCTGCTTCACAAAATCAATGTACTGGGAATCATCGCCCGTGATGATCATGTCATCGACATAGAGAAGAAGAAGGGTGCGACCATGAGGGGAAGTGTGAACAAAAAGAGCAGGTCATGATCACTTGGCGTAAAACCAGCATTGATGACAACAGAGGAGAAACGCTCAAACCAGGCCCGAGGAGCTTGCTTGAGGCCGTAGAGAGAACGGTGCAACCGGCAAACCAGGCCATCAGGAACAGAGTATCCTGGAGGTGGCTGCATATAGACTTCCTCTCGTAGCTCGCCATTGAGGAAGGTATTCTTGACATCCAACTGGGATATCGACCACTGACGAACAGAAGCAACTACAAGAAGAGTGCGAACAGTAGTCATGTGCGCGACAGGAGCGAAGGTCTCCTCATAGTCACGACCTTGCTCCTGTTGGAAGCCGCGCACCACAAGATGAGCCTTGTAGCGCTCAAGAGAGCCATTCGAGCGGGTATTTACCTTGTACACCCACTTGCAAGTGATAGGAGTGACGTGAGGTGGCAAAGGAACAAGATCCCAAGTGCTAGTACGTTCTAGGGCAGCAATCTCCTCAGCCATAGCATGTTGCCACTCCTGGTGAACGGCAGCTTCCCGATAGGTCGCGGGCTCAGCCAAGACGGCAGCAGTGAAGCCAAGGCGATCGGGAGGACGAAGGGTGCTGCGATCACGAAGAGAATAACGAGGAGGAGACTCGGGATGAGGTCCAAGGACGGATGGAGAAGAGTCAAGTGGTGGCGCAGGGCGCGGATGACGAGTGTAGTAGTGAGTGATCTCACGGGAAGGACGCAACGATGATGGTGGAGGAGAGACTGGTGGTGGAGAGGTAGGAGGAGGTGGTGAAGGTGGAGAAGTAGGTGGTGGTGGTGGAGGTGGAGTAAAAAGATACCTGAGGGGGTGAAGAAGATGGAGACGACAGTGGAAGATACCACTCAGGTAAAGTGAGGAATGAGAGGGACTCAGTGGTACCAGAAGAACCGGAAGGGGAACGAGGACAGTAAGGCCGGGACTCATTGAAGGTGACATCTCGAGAAATCCTCATCCGATGAGCAACAGGGTCATAGCAGCGATAACCCTTATGTTCCGTACTGTACCCAAGAAAAACACACTCAACAGACTGAGCAGTGAGTTTGGTGCGCTCATGAGGTGGAAGTAGGACGTAACAGACACACCCAAAACAATGAAGATGGCTATAGGAAGGAGGGGTGCCGAAAAGACGCTCATAGAGAGTGCAACCCCGAAGACAAGTAGAGGGTTGGCGATTTATAAGAAAAACAACTGTAGAAACCGCCTCAGCCCAAAAATAAGGAGCAAGCATAGAAGAGATCAAGAGAGCACGAGTAGTCTCAAGAGTGTGGCGATGCTTGCGCTCAGCAACACCATTTTGAGCATGAGCACCAGGACATGAAAATTGGGCAAGAGTACCCTGCTCAGCAAGGTAGGAGCGATGAGCAGTGGAGATGTACTCACCAGCAGAATCCGCACGAAAAACTCGAATGAGAGAGTTGAACTGGGTACGGATCATGGTGGCAAATTTTTGGTAAATAGAAAGAAATTGACCACGAGAAGACATCAAATAAATCCAGGTAAATCTCGAATAGTCATCAATGAAAATAACATAATATGATTGACCCCCCTTTGAAATAAAAGGTGTTGGACCCCATACATCAGAGTGAACAAGATCAAAAGGTTTCTAGGACTTAGACTCACTAGAAGGGTAGGGGAGTTGCAACTATTTGCCAAGTTTACAACCCATACAATGAAGAGTAGTGTCACCAGAAATAGGACCTAACACACCACTACCAACAAGGGTGGACAATCTAGAACCAGAGAGGTGACCAAGACGATGATGCCACTGCGCAAAAGAAGTGGTAGAGCGAATGGTGACACGGATCTTTGGAGGCTGGGTGATGTGGGAGCCAAAGCAGGTGAAGGAAGACGCAACCAATCAAGCTCCCAGAGGCGTTGGGAGTCCCGACACCTAGGCCCAGTTCCCACCAAAAGGTCCGTGCGGAGATCCTGAACACAACAAGAATCAGACTCAAGGATTATGCGACAGCCATGATCAGTGATTTGACCCGCAGACAAGAGTTGCATAGTTAGTTTGGGAACATACGAAATAGTAGGAATATTAAACGAAGAGGTCGAAAGAACACCTCTCCCAGCAACAGGAAGAGAAGTGCCATCTGCGGTGCGAACATAAATAGATGGATCGGGGAAGATAGAGAGGACAAGTGTGTTGCATGAGGTGTCATATGAAAAGAGGCACGAGTCGAGGAACCATGGGGATGATTTGACGGAGGAGGAGCGGAACTAGAAGCTGTTTGTGTAGTCCCGTGACCGAAGGCGAGCTGCGATGGTGAAGGAAATAGGGCAAGAACCTCCTGCTCATTGTAGACATGGAGCAGAGTGCTCTGTGAAGTAGAGGAACCACACGAGCCCTAAAAAAGCGTCGCCATGGCGCCACGATCGGTCATGTTGCTTCTTGCGACAATCCTTCTCCTCATGACCATAGATCTTGCGGTAGCTTGAATACAGAAGGTGCCCCGTCACCACGGAGAAATTTGAGATGGAGGCGGAGAGACCTAGGGATTGCTAGGGGACGGAGGGCTGCGGTGGAACATGAGTCACACCCCTAGCTCGAAGACGTGTCTCCTCTCGTAATTCAGGCATCGCCTCAAAGAGCGATGGGGGCGGCAGACGACAGTCAACAAGCGTGCTCGAACAGTCTCAAATTCGGGACGAAGACGAGAGAGAAACTCGTGAAAGGCGAAGAATGTCTCTCTGGTCCCGGTGGCCAGTCAAAATGGCAAGTACCACCCTTTGTAGAACTCGGCGCCCAAACTATCCAGCGATATCATCATCATTTGTGGAAGTCCTCAACTGTGGAGTCATGAAGCGAATGAGCCTCCTCAACAACGACAAGGTACATCGCTTCGTTATGAATCTCGTGACTGCGACGGAGGTGATCCCACATAAGGTGTGAAGTGGCAAGACCTCTAAGGGATAACGAGAGATCGACCTCCATGCTCGCAAGTAAGATGGCCTTAGCAGATTTTTCCTCGCACAGCCAAGTCTCATAGACACCAAGATCAGTCTGATAGCTCTCCATCTCGGCCTCAAATGCCTCAAGTAAATCATTCTTGGCATCATCATCAGCATCTGGCGGGTATGTGGGCGGCGTGGGAAGAAGAAGACGGTGAGACAGATCCGCTCACTGTGAGGTAGCCCTGGCGGTGGCCATCCATGTGGACCTCCATATGAAACACAAAATCGCCCCAATTGGTGCCATTGAAAATGACGGGGCACCGAGGGACCAGAAACAGAGCCAGGGCGTCCGGGGGACGCCATGGAGGAGAGAACGAGCCTCTCTGCTGCTGCTGCTGTTTTTATGCTCTTTTTCTCTTTTTTAAGCGAGAGAGGAGAGGAGGACCACCGACTCACTAGCACCAAGACACTGCAGGCGCAAGTGAGCAGCCCGCTATCTGGAAGGCAGGGGTAGCGGTGTCCATGGTGGCGTGCGCCCTCGGGGAGGCGGGGACGGAGCCGGAGGTGTCTTGGCGAGCAGGGCAGTGTCCATGAGCCTTGAGAATGTGGGAGGGCTGGTGGTCAGGGAGCCGTCTGAGTATAGCTGGCCTGATGGCCTGATGAGCCTTGTGGGCGTTATGATACTTGGTGGCGGTAGTGAAATTTCAGGCGGAGCAGCAGTGAGGTGGGATGCGGAGGCCAGCGGGGTGAAATCGCCGGCGTCGCTCATGCAAAGGTGAAAGGAACCCTAGCTCGATACCATGTTAGAAGGACTAGAATGAGACCAACCAGCTGTATTGCAAGGCCCAAGAGGGCAAGTATACACAGTGTACATATGCAAAGAAGCCCTCCAAGTAGAGGGAAAACACATACACCTCCTATACATCTAACAAAATTCACTGTTCATGTCCTCACAAATTCCTTCAGATTCCTTCAAATTCCTCCCAGCGAACAGGCCCATTATGGGCATGTATCATCTATATATGTGGGCACACATCAACCAATGGATACTATTAGATCCAAATTGTTTTTTTGGAGGGGGGACATGATTCAAATATCACACGGTCAAATTTTAGAATATATGTAGGCCCGAGGATTTGGAGGTCTGGGAACATCAACACAAGAATAAAGAATTTTTAACGAAGTCTTACAGCTAAAATGGATTTGGAGATTATACAATGGAGATGAGAATGACATGTGCTGCCAGCTGCTCAGTGCCAAATACATGAAAAACAAATGCCTCTCGAACTGTAACATAACAGCAAGGGAGGCTCACAATTCTAGTTAGGCATAAAAAAAGTGAAAGTAAATTCAAATGAGATCTTGGGAAATGTAGCTAACGTTCTGTTCTTGGAGGACACATGGATAGGAGATATACCCCTGAAGCTACCATATCAAAAACGTTTCTCGGTCTGTAGCAATCCTGGTTGCACTGTTCAGGATTGCTGGGAGGAGGATTGGGGGTGAGAATTCCAACGAACCTTAACTTCACTATATCAGATGACAGGTAAAGGATTTCCAAGACAAAGTTGTTTGGAAGTTGGAGAAGAAAGGGATGTACACTACTAGGTCTATGTATGGACTCATGGTGTCTCCTTATATTTTTGTCCTAATAATGATACAAAGCAGCAAATCCAACTCAAGTCACAAATGTAAATAAATCGTATACATTAAACACAACCCTAACAAGATCCGCGGATTTAAGTAGTGGGCATATTGGAGTGGTTTGTTTAGTTGTGTTGCTGCCAATCTACCCAAAGTCTAAGACCTTTTGAATGATTAGCAGAACTTCTATTTTGATGACGTTTTTCCAAATTACAGTGTTTTTGTGGTGGTTCAAGCGTCCCATGATTCCAGGAACTGTACTCTAATCCACCCCAATTCACGTGTATTAAGATGGATAAAATTACATGTGAATTGGGTGGATTGAAGTGCGGTCAAACAGACCCCGAAGAAGTCGTACTCTTCTAGGAGATGACACCTGTGATGTCCGGTGTGAGATGTGCACTGATGCACATGAAGGGCATTCCAGAGATACAAATTGTTGTATTTTTTTAGAAAAGAGAATATATTAATATCCCAGCTTCTGCATCGATCAATGCATATGGCTGTTCCTTATTACAAACAAGAAAGAAACGGTCCAGGGTATCTCAAAAACAAAGTTTTGCGCCATAAAGTTAAAAAAAAGGACTTAAAACCAGTACTAGAAAGCAATTCTATTACTAAAGCTCCAGCCGTGTTTAGCAAACACTTCCATCGTGGCTGTCTCAATGGTCTTACAACCCATCTTCATCAAATGGCGATCCTCCTCCTCCTTCGTAACAGGGACCAGGTTCCCCTGAAGATAGCCTGCAAGTAAGATGATGCTACAGCCTTGTTAAAAACTACATCATTTCTGGTTAACCAAATCGCCCAACAAAATGCACTTGCACCCACAATGATCTGAGATTTCAGTTTCCTATTTATCCCTTCCAACCAGCCTGTAAATATATTGTGTACACTAGTTGGCAGTGATAAATTAAAAAAAACATGAACAATTCTCCAAATAAACTTAGCAAAATGACAGTCAAAAAATAGGTGTTGAATAGACTCGTTCGAGGAACAAAAACAATATTTCCTATCTCCTTGCCACTGCCGTCGTGCTAAATTATCTTTGTTAGAATTACTCCCTTGTACAAGTACCACATGAAGACTTTGATTTTGAGAGGTAGTTTTAGTTTCCATATGAATGTGTTATAAGGTATAGCTTGTGTTTCTAATAGAGCTCTATACATCGATTTGACATAAAACAACCCATTCTGATGTAGCCCCTACACAAAGCGGTCCTCTGATTTGTTAGTTGTACATTTGCCACCATATCCACTACATTGTGCCATGCTTGCAAGTTAACACCTATAAGAGATCTCCTGAAGGCTACATTTAACGGTATCGTAGACATCCCTAATCTTACAGACACATTTTTTCTTCTCACAATGTTATAAAGTGCAAGAAAGAGCGATTTTAGTGGGCACGATCTTATCCACAAGTCCTCCTAAAATCGCACTTGAGACCCATCACCCAGATCAAACTTACCTAAAGAGAGAAACTCCGTCTTGACCTTCATAAGGCCAGCCCAAAATTGAGAATCCCCGGGCATGTATTGAGCCTGCGTCAAATTTTTAATCCTTAGGTATTTATTTCTAAGCAATTGCTGCCAAACCCCGTCTCCATTTACTAATTTAAACAACCATTTGCTAAGAAGACACTTATTGTGAGTTTCTAGATTTAGGACTCCTAGCCCTCCTTGGTCTTTCGGTGTGCAAACTACCTCCCACTTAGTCAATCTATATTTTTTTTCTTATGTTCATCACTCTACCAAAAAAACCGTGATCTATAGTAATCCAATTTCTTCAAAACCCCTCCCAAAAAAAAGATAACATGAACATAGGAAGACTACTCAAAACAGAGTTGATTAGAACAAGCCTTCCTCCTACTGACATCATCTTGCCCCTCCAACAATTGAGTCTTTTTTTAAATCTTTCTTTCACATGTTTTCGGTCCTTATTCAAAAGTTTTATATGGTGCATAGGAATTACTAGGTATGGAAAGATCCTACATTGCACCCAAAAATTTGTGTATATTCAAGTTGATTGGCTTTGGCCGGCCCGTAGTAGAACAATTCACTTTTATAGAAGTTGATCTTGAGTCCTGATAATTGTTCAAAAGCACAAAGCAGGAGCTTCATGTTTTTGGCCCTCTCTAGATCATTGTCCATAAAGATAATAGTATCATCCGCATACTGGAGGACCAAAAGTCCCTCATCTATCAAATGTGGAACAACCCCTTTGATTTGTTCTCGCCTCTTTAGCTCTTGTAATAAGGACAACCAACATGTCTACCACTATATTAAACAAGATCGGGGATAGTGGGTCCCCTTGACGCACTCCTTTTCTTGTTTGAAAATAGTGGCCTACATTGTCGTTAACCTTCACTGCAACACTCCTGTCGATGCGGGACCCATAGGATACCCCGCAAGAGAGAGAGAAGATCTAGTTCAACTAGGGTTCTTCCCATGTAATCTTAGTAATAGAACTATTAAGTAATCCTACTAGGAAATCTCATTGTAAACCGATTAGGACTCCGGGATCCTGAATATATAAAGGAGGCCAGGGCTCCTAAAGAAGGGGACGATTGGTACGACATAACACTTCATAATCAATCCAACGCAAAAGGCAAACGCCGACTGGACGTAGGGTCGTTACTCGATCTACGATCGAGGGCCTGAACCAGGATAAATCGACTGTCTCTTGCGTTCACCTTCGAGTTCAGCATACGCCGAAACCCGAACGATACTACCACGGTACCCCCGTGGTAGGCTATCGGTGGTAAAACATCGACAACTCCCTCTAGAAATAACTTTCGAAATCCAGTCACACAAAGTTGGTGAGAATCCTTTTATTCGAAGAACTTGCTGTATGAAGGGCCACTTTAGTTTATCATAAGCTTTTTCAAAGTCTAGTTTTAAAATGATAGCATCTTGTTTTTTTCTATGTAACTCATGAATTGTTTCATGCAAAGTCACAACTCCTTCCATTATATAGCGACCCGGAATGAAAGCCGTTTGAGAAGGCCCTATCAATTTATCTGCCACTTTCAATAATCTATTATTTAGTACTTTTGTAAAAATCTTAAAGCTTACATTTAAGAGGCATATTGGTCTATATTGTTGTATCGGACTGCATCAGTAACCTTTGGTAATAAAGTAAGTATCCCAAAATTTAGACTATGAATAGGCAGTCCCCGATATGGAATGCAAGAAACAAGCTCATCAAATCTGGGTTCACAATCTCCCAAAAGAATTGATAGAATTCAGCGGGAAAGCCATCTGGACTGGATGCCTTATTGTGTTCCATATCGAAGATTGCCATTTTAACTTCCTCCTCACTGAATGGGGCCGTCAATACTTGATTCTCCTCCTCGGACACTTGAGGTATATCATATCTCAAAGTCTCATCCATTGAGAAAGAATTTTGTGTATGAGGTCCAAACAGTGCTTTATAGTATTCAGTTATGAAATTTTCCAGGTTCGCATCTCCAACAATAACC